ATTATTGGCAAGATTCACGTTTTTATAGTACAAAATCATTGATAAAGTATTCATCTAAATTTTAAATAATATAACTTAATGTGAATTTTATTGTTTGTGTTGTACAAAGTTACAAACATATTCTTTGTTGGTGTACCAACAAAAACTTTTATGTAAGTGATATTTTGGTCAGTAATTTAAAGTTTTTTAGTAGTATATTAAAATTAAATTCAATTTGTTTTCTATATAACTTAATAATTAAAAGACAAATTAAATGCACTCTTATATATGCCCAAAGCAGGTTAAAAACCATTAGTTATTAAGAAAAATTTCTGTCCACCGAATTGCAAAAATTACGTCATATGCTAAGCTGGGACAGTGTAAAATTTTCCACCATTTAAGCAGTTTAATTTGTCTATGGTGCAAGGGTTTTGCCTATATCTGAATGTTGTTCTGATGCAGGAAACACTTCTCAACCTGTTACCTCACAATTACCTCCATTAAAATTTGTATGATCAAGCTGAGAAACTGAGATCAAAGGCACCAAGCTGAGGCACACGCAAACCACCAGGCAACTCTCTGTTTTCTGTCCTTTTTTTTTCTTTTTACTTTATTTATAATTTTGGTAGTGTTGGGATAATTGTCCAACACTATTTCTTCACATTTATACTCAAGACAAAAGTCATCAAAAAATGAACTTTTTAAAAAGATTATTTATATTAGGATAAATAAGCTTTTTCAAAAGTAATTACTCTCTTTTATTTTTTGATTGAGAGTTTCTCACTCTAAAATTAACAAATTATTACTAAGTTAGACATTAGAGCATTTCTCGAGGAAACACCTTAAAGGCTCCAATAACTACGACCTCAAATAGGAGCTTGGTCAGCAATCCGAATCCAATCTGAACAATTTCTGCTTTAACAGGTAGTATATCTCATATGAAATTATTTCTCAAGTTGTCTGAATTAGACTTGTGAAATTTTCGACTGTCAACAAATACAGAAAGTTATGCTCTCTAGAGCCATTAGCACCAAACTTGGGCAATGCTAAACTCGTATTTTCTGTTGTTATCCAAGGAAAGGTGCAGAGGCTATGAGAAGAAACATCTAATATATAATGAAAAGCATGTTTTCCTCCCTTTTGCATAATCAAATGTATTCTCGCTAGCATTGATATGTCTGTTTACATTATGAAGGCGCCCTTTTCTTCTCTACCTGTTTCTTCCCTTATTAGAACTGGAACTTGGTTAATTTGGATGGTTGCTGTGTAAGTGCTTAATGCTGGTCCTTGAGAAAAGGGAAAAATTTGTGAAGGTTTACGGGCTGTTCGAATGGGGATTTGGAGCTTTTTAGATCCGTTGCTGAGAAGTTTTATAGCACTTTCAGTTCAGATCGGACTCATAACTCGATTGTTAGGCTGCGGCATAATGTCGCGAGGAGCGGACTGCGCAATATGAGTATCTCATACTCTCGTATCTCCCTTACTGGTGTTGCAAAGAAGCCAAGATTGGTCTCTGCTAACCCTGTTGCTGATGTTGCCAACAAGCCAAAATCAGAGACATTCATTCATGTCAAAATAACGGATTCATTAGGAATTATTTCAAAAAATTCAACCATGGTAAATTCCTATCAACAAAATTTAAAGAAATTTGAGAAATGCGAATTTGACAGAAATTAACTTGGATAATAGCAAAAATTCAACCCACAAGACCAGTCGAAAACTAAAAGCCAATAACATTTGGGTTTGCCAAACCCAAGACCATAATTCTTAGAGACTTATACCTAGGTACATGACGAGACAACTTTTATTATTAAAAGCACACCAAACCTTGGACTTAATCATGTAGTGTAAGTTTTATGAAGTATAACTGGTCTTTTTCAATCCTCAGCTAATTAAAGCTGAAATATAATCTCAGAAAGATTGTCCACTGCTCCTGTGATAAGAAGCATGTCATCACAATGGTGATGGACAGATGCCTTCAACGGGTCAATCTCGAGTTTGATCTCTTCCATTGCAGCAACCATTTGTGTTGTTTCCTCTCTCATGCGGTTCATCTCCACCTTGGCAGCAATGGCTTTCGCTTTCATCCTCTTCAGAGTCTTCTTCGAACAAAATTGATGAAACCATGTATTAATAAGTAAATTTATTTTATGGAGAAGTGTTAAGAATGAATTAGCTACAATTTGCTGAGAAAATAAAAGCAGCTATACACCTGGAGCTTGCACCTCAATCTCCGATTAAGGGTCACTCTAATTCCAGCCATTACTTCTCCTTGTGTCTCTCTGTGATACTGCACATACAGGGAAGATCAATCAACGTTGATATATGTAGGTTGGTATCAAGGGATTGAAAATAAATTCAAGAAACTTGATATTTACCTGACTGAATTTGCTAGCCGTATTTCGATACTTCTACTACTTTATGTAAGCAATCTTTGAGCACATCAAAATTTTTTCCCAAATATATAGACTCTTCAAAGGGGCTCCACATTTGTGGAAGAAGGCGATATGTGAATGGGGAAATAGCCATTCAAAGGTCAGCAAAATGAAAAGAAAAAGGGACAGCATCAAAATGAAAAGGAAACAGTGTCAAAATATTAAACTATTCTTCTAAGCAAGACGATAAGAAAAGGAGAATAAAAAGTAGAGTATCAAAATATCAAACTATTCATCTTAGCAAAATGAAAAAGAAAAAGGGGAGTGCCAACCCTTAGCAAAATGAAAAGAAAAAAGGAGAATCAACTGCATCAATCATGACTAAACTATGCATCTTTGGAAAATGAGAAGAAAAGGAGAGAAACAAAATATTAAACTATTCCCCCTTAGCAAGTTAACAAGAAAAAGGAGAGTATCAACTGCATCATCACGACTAAACTGTTCTTCTTTGCAAAATGAGAGGAAAAAGGAGAGTAATAAAACCTTAAACTATTCCTCTTAGCAAAATGAGAAGAAAAGGGCGATAATAAAATATTAAACTACTATTCTTCTTTGCAAAATTAGAAGAGAAAAGAGAGTAACAAAATATTAAACTATTCTTCTGAGCAAAATGACAAGAAAAAGGAGAGTATCATCTGCATCACGCATGGTCATGACTAAACTATTCTTCCCCGCAAAATGAGAACAAAAAGCGCCTGTCTTAGCAATATGAGAAGAAAAAGAAGAGTATCAATTGCATCATCATGACTAAACCATTCTTCTTTTCAAAAAGAGAAGAGAAAGGAGAGTAGCAAAATATTAAACTATTCTTCTAAGCAAAAAGACAAGAAAAAGAATTCTTCTTTGCAAAATGAGAAGAAAAAGGAGAGTATCAACTGCATTGTACATTGTCACGCGTAATCTGTTTCTTCTTTGCAAAATGAGAAGAAAAGGGAGATAATAAAATATTAAACTACTATTCTTCTCTGCAAAATTAAAGGAGAGGAGAGTAACGGGATATTAAACAATTCTTCTAAGCATAATAACAAGAAAAAGGAGAGTATCAACTGCATCATGAATCGTAATGACTAAACTATTCTTCTATGTATGAGGGCCATTACTAGTAATTATCTTCAGTCCGAACGGTAGAAAAATTTTAGCAAATTACACCCTCTTAAAAGTTCTCTAGTGAGTAGAACACTATTTCTGGAAGGCAGGCATGTTTTAGTAACAACAAACTCAGAAAACTATTTTCAATTTAGAGGAAACGCAAACCATAAAACCAAATGTTTATCTATAGTTCTTTACTACAACTCAAAGCTCAGGTTGTCACAAATGATACAATGCATGTTTAACATCAGGCAAATCAATAAAATGTCAGCAAAGGAGAAGAATTTAGAATCATATGTATGTGACATAAACAAGCAAAAACAATCCTTACAGTTTATAATTCTCTGTTGGATAAAGCAGATCCAAAAATGTTTGGTTCGGTGTTGGCCCAACATTTTTCAGTGGGTATGCTTAACGAAAACTGGACTGAAGCAAACCCGCTTACTCTTCTCTTCCCTCTTCGATTGAGTTTTTTCCGTGTTAGCGGGTTCATGGAAATATCTGGTGGACTGTAGGCCTTGACCGTTTAAAGTAGGTTTAATACCCAATTTGGTCCCTAAACTTTCATTTCAGAACTTAATTCATCCTTTAACTTCAGAAAGCACCCAAACCGTCCTTAAACTTTATTTTTTCAAAACCCAAATGGTCCTTCCATCACCAAAGTGTCCAGCTGGCATGTTAACTTGCCACGATTTAACACTTTTATTTCAGAAAAATTATGTGGAAAAAAATGATGATTTGATAATTTTAATAAATTTAATAAAAGAAAATATACAATTACAATATTAACCCTCACTTATATTCAACCCCTATCCCTTTGCCATTTTTGTTCTTTTCCTTGTTCTCCAGCATCGACATTGACACCAATGCCAGCAGCAGCATTCTTTCCCTTTCTCATTTTTCTCTCTACTCTCCACTCTCCTCCTTCCTCCTTCCTCCTTCCTCCTTCCTCATTTCCTTTTTCTTTCCCTTTCTTTTTTCTTCTTGTTGTTTCTAGTTGGGCTTTAGAACCCATATTGGGATTTTAACCTAAGGACTTGGAATTCCTAATTGATCAAAACCAAGGCGTCACAAGTGGTTACAAAGCAACAAACGTCGATAAATGACGCCAATCTGAAAGGTATGGCTCCAATCTGGATGAGCAATTTGGATGAGCAATTTGGATGAGCATCGATCTATAATTCATGGAGGCTAGCAACAACAATGGCGATGGTGTGAAGCTTTGTGATGGAGCTCTGCATATGATCCATGATCTGGGTATTTGTTTGGTTAGAGGAAAAATCATAGTGAGAAAATCTTGGGAAAAAAAAAAATCAGATTTCATGGTAAATATGGGAGAATTTGAATAAAAATTTTCTTGTTTTGTGGTATGTTTATCTAGATATTTGTTTGGTTGGTGAGAAAATCATGGGAAAAAAATTCCAATTGGTTTATGGGGTTTTTATTGAATTGTTGAAGTTAAGCTTTAGATTTCATGTAGATGGAATTGGATTGAAGGACATGAATTTCTTTTGCAAATTTTTTGGGTAGCCTAGTTGTTTCGTTGCAAAGAAAATTCACGGGAAACTGAATTTGTTCTTTTAGTTTTTTTGGTCCGTTTTCCATGTGATTTCCAGGGACTGGTAGGTTTGGAAATTCTACCCCCAATCTAAAATTTCGGGAGAATTTCCAGATTCCAGCCAAAGTTAAAAATTCAAAGAAATTGCAAAAAAAAAAAAAAAAAAGAAAGAAAGAAAATCAAAGACCAAAACCAAGACCTAATGGAGCCTAAATGCATTTAAAATTCACCAACATAAACTAGAACTGAGCATGTATATTCAAGATTAAAGTGGAATAGTACATTCAACCAAAAACCCATCACCAAATACTTAAAATGAACAAACAAGCATGTAAGAGGCGCTTTATAGGTCGTAATGCTTCCGGGTACACCATTTTGGACTAGTCCTGAAGGTAAAAACCTTAAGGCACCCATTACTTGTTTGGATATGGAAGTTACCTAACTAAGGGAGACCAACATGTCACTGGAATCTGATCGAGATCTACTGCTTTTTCACTTCCAAAACCCAAAAGAAGTTCAAAAATGGACCAAAAAGAACCCCTGAAAATCACCGAAAAAGCCCCCTCTCTTTTTTTTGCCCTCGACTACTCTCCTATAAATTTATTAAAATTACCAAATCATCATTTTTTTCCACATAGTTTTTCTGAAATAAAAGTGTTAATTCGTGGCAAGTTAACGTGTCAACTAGGCACTTCGGTCGACAGAAGGACCATTCAGGTTCTAAAAAAATAAAGTTTAAGGACGGTTTGGGTGCTTTTTGAAGTTAAAAGATGAATTAAGCTCCGAAATGAAAGTTTAGGGACCAAATTTGGTATTAAACCTTTAAAGTACGATATGAAATGCAGTACCTACTTAGTACTGAGATTATCCACCACTCCTGAGATGTAAATTTGGGCCTATTCTCTCAGTTAATTTATGAGAAATTTGTGTTTCTTAATTTTCTTTGAACTTTGATAACAATTGAGCATGGTTCAACTCCTCCTTAATAGTATGTTTGATTTGAGACAAAGGGAGAAGTATGTTTGATAATATTTAAAAATATTATAATTTAATTAATTTAAAAAACTTCTTCCTTATTTCTCTTACATTAAATATACAGTAAATACTTTATTTTTAAGATAGGCGGATGTTGATTGAAAGAGAGAGAAAAAATAGACCACTGTTTATTGAGAAAATAAAACTTATAATGTCCTAACATTTTAAAGGTTAAATGTTAGGACTACTTAAATATGTTCAATAATTTTTTAAATATTAATTTATTAAAAATATTTTAATTATTTAAATGTTTTAATTTTTCTCTATCTTAATTCCATGTTTATTAAAAAAAATACTTAATTAAATAGATTTTAAAAAGTTTGACACATAAAATTTCCTATATTGATTATCAAAATTATGAAAATCTCTTCTTTTTTTTGGCAGAGAAAATAAGAAAATAAATCTGTTTAATTAAAACCAATTTAAAAAAATAAAAAATTCCTTTATTGATACGGATTAAAAGAAAGGCAAGCCATGATTGTAATTAAAATGTGAGTGTATATATATATATATTAAAGATAATGTCTATCAATCATAATTCTTAAAAAAATTAAAAGCACGTTTGGCAGCCCGGAAATAACTCTGGATTGGATAAAAATTAGTTATA